ACCTTGGAGGTCCCATCTCACCTCAACCACCCTGTAGTTATCCAAGAACAAGACCTTGAGATGTTTTTTTTTCCAGGTTTCATCAAAGTTCTCCTCTACATGGCCTTCATGACCATCATGATCAAAGTCCACACCTTCCCGCTCTTCGCCATCCGCCCCATGTACTTGGCCATGAGGTGAGTTGACTTTGACATGACCTCCAACACCATCGTGGCCACCACCACGTTGTCGTGGCCACCACCACGTTGTCGTGGCCACCACCACCCCATTGTGGCCACCCCCCCCTTGTCCTGGCCCCCACCAGGGTCATGGCCACCACCAGGCCATCACTTGGATCTCAACTGGTCCCTTCTCTTCCTCCAGGCAGTTCAAGAAGGCGGTGACGGACGCCATCATGTCCCGCCGAGCCATCCGCAACATGAACACGCTGTGAGTAACCTGGAGAACTTTTGAGATGGGACCTACCTAAAAATATCATCCAATTTGAGGAAAAATACCTCGTTTCTCACAACGGGAGGACCCTGTGGGGTGAGGGGGTGGTGGAGATCTCAAGATTTTCCTTGTCAAATCTTCAAATCTCACCCAAAATCTAGTGGATGTCGGTGAAGAGGATGGGTTGGTTGGTGGTGGGGTGGATGGTGGGGGGGACTTAGAAGTACCATTACCATCCCACATCACTGGGCTCCCCAGTCCAAGAGAGAATGGGACACACTGGAGAACATCCAATGAAGATCTACCAGGACAACAAAGGGACTGGAGAGGCTTTGAGACCGGTTGTGTTGCCATCTCCATCCTTGGAGATACTCAAAAGCTGTTGGGTCATGGTCTTGGTGACCTACTTGAGCAGATGGTTGAACCAGATGACCTTGGAGGTCCCATCTCACCTCAACCACCCTGTAGTTGGTTTTCCTGTCACTAAAATGACAGGAAAGATGATTTTTTACTGGTGTTTGAGGGGGTTGGTTTTTTTTTTGACCTCATTGTCCTGTGGGTGCAGGTACCCCGACGCCACGCCCGAGGAGCTGCAGGCCATGGACAACGTCTGCATCATCTGCCGCGAGGAGATGGTGACGGGCGCCAAGAGACTGCCCTGTAACCACATCTTCCACACCAGGTGGGCCAGGCACGGGGGGGTGCTGGGTACACTGGCACTGTCCCCTCGGGGGTTTGGGGGGATTTTGGTGGGGGTTTTGGTGTTTTTTTGGTGGGTTTTTTGGTGGGTTTGTTTTGGGGTTTTGGTGGGTTTTAGGGGGTTTTGGTGAGGTATTTGGTGGGGTTTTGGTGGTTTGGGTTTTTTGGTGGTTTTGTTTTGGGTTTTGGGGGGATTTTGGGGGTGGTTTTTAGTGGGTTTTGGTGGTTTTTTGGTGGTTTGTTTTAGGTTTTTTGGTTTTGTGGTGAGTTTTTTGGGGTGGTTTTTTGGTGGGGTTTTTTGTGGTTTTTGGTGGGTTTTTTGGGTGGTTTTTACTGGGTTTTGGTGGGGATTTTTTTGTGGTTTTGTTTGGGCCTTTTCATGGTTTTTGGTGGGTTTTTTGTGAGTTTTTTGGTGGTTTTGTTTTGGGGTTTTGGTGGGTTTTAGTGGGTTTTGGTGAGGTATTTGGTGGGGTTTTGGTGGTTTGGGTTTTTTGGTGGTTTTGTTTTGGGTTTTGGGGGGATTTTGGGGGTGGTTTTTAGTGGGTTTTGGTGGTTTTGTTTTGGGTTTTTGGTGGGTTTGTTTTGGTGGGTTTTAGTGGGTTTTGGTGGTTTTGTTTTGGGTTTTTGGTGGGTTTGTTTTGGTGGGTTTTGGGGGTGGTTTTTAGTGGGTTTTGGTGTTTTTTTGGTGGCTTTTTGGTGGGGTTTTTTGTGGGGTTTTGGTTTGGTTTTTTGGTGGTTTTATCGGTGGGTTTTTGTTTTGGGGTTTTTGGTAGGGTTTTTGGGGGGTTTTGGTGGTTTTGTTTTGGCTTTTTGGTGGATTTTTGGTGGTTTTTTGGTGTGGTTTTGGTTTTTTGGTGCATTTTCGGTGGGGTTTTGATGTTTTTTTGGTGTGTTTTTAGTGGTTTTTGAGGTTTTTTGGTGGTTGTGGTTTTTTTGGTGGTTTTGTTTGGGTTTTTTTGGTGGGGTTTTTGGTGGGGTTTTTGGTGGGTTTTTTGGTGGGTTTTTTGGTGGTTTTGTTTTGGGGTTTTTGCTGGTTTTCTGGTGGGTTTGTTTGGGGGTTTTTGCTGGTTTTGTTTTGGCTTTTTGGTGGATTTTTGGTGTTTTTTGGTGTGGTTTTGGTTTTGGTGCATTTTTGGTGGGGTTTTGATGGTTTTTTGGTGTGTTTTTTTGGTGGTTTTGTTTGCTGGGTTTTTGGTAGTTTTGTTTTGGGTTTTCTGGTGGGTTTTTTGGTGGGTTTTTTGGTGGGTTTGTTTGGGGTTTTTTGGTGTGGTTTTTGGTGTGGTTTTTGGTGGTTTTGTTTTGGGGTTTTTGCTGGTTTTTTTGGTGAGTTTTGGTGGGGTTTTCTGGTGAGTTTTGGTGTCCCTGACGAGGATGATGATGAACTAACAGCCCCGCTCGCTGCCGATGGTGCTGCCCAGGGGTATTTTGGGGAGATCTTTACCCCCCACCATGACTTTCCGGTGTGGTTAACGGTGTCTGTCACCCCCCAGCTGCCTGCGGTCGTGGTTCCAGCGCCAGCAGACCTGTCCCACCTGCCGCATGGACATTCTCCGGGCTTCCCTCCCAGCACAGCCACCTCCTGAACCACCAGAGCAAGCCCCACCACCACCCCAGACCCCACAAGTTCCTCAACCCCCCAACTGTGAGTCTCAATATCCCCCCACTCTGTGGTACAACGGGTGCCAAATTCTTGCCGACGCGGTTAAATCTGGTTATGTGGCATCAAACTGGTGACCAGACGTCTCCCAGGGAAGGAAATTCGGGTGTTTGGGGCTCTGATCACCCTTTTCTCCCCCCACAGTTCCCCAGGGAATCCTTCCCCCTTTCCCCCTGGGAATGTTTCCCTTCTGGCCACCGGTTGGTCCCTTCCCACCAGTTCCTGGTGTTCAACCACCACCCAACAGCGCCGAAAACGCCGTGCCGAGCTCCAGCACCGCTCCAGGTGAGGGTTTTCTCCTGAAATCCAACGGGTTGGCACT